TAAGAAAGGTTTGCATATATAGAAGCATAGAATTTTATAAGGCGCTTTCTTATCTATTGCCTTATTACAGATCATTCATGAGTATTTCATGATTTGTTGCATGAATTACCACATAAAGACAATTATTATTTTGGATTTAATGGGATTTCCATTGATCTTTTTTCTTGATAGGCAATAAACTTACCAATCCTGCCTGTATATTATTTTAAGTATTAGTGCGTGAGAGTCTCTTATGCATTCAATTTATTATTAGAGTATGTTATTTTGAAACAAAGGCTTACTGATAACTTGGTTTTTGAAATAATACTTATTCAGGCACAGGACTTAAATAGAATCAATAGAGCTCAATAGCTACCCATCCATTGAGAATCTCTACTTTTTTTTCACCAAACAATTACAACTTTCTATCTGGTATAAAACCAATTATATTTCAAGATCAAGTGTAACATAACACAATTAAGAAAATTCAAAACAAATGTTCAGTTTGTCAAAAAATGTTTATTCCTTTAACCTTAATCTTAGCATAGATCTTAACACTAACCTAAATGAACTTTAAAAAATATTTTGCCGCATTACACGTGATTACGTGCTAGCGAAAATTTGGCGGCAATCTAGGGGACAATGGTGAATTATTTTTGTAATTGTGAAAATAATTCTTCTATATTACTAGATTATCAAATCTACTATTTATAACTAATTTGAAAACCTTGTATTCAATTGATTATAAGTGTATGCATATTAATATAAAAATTTATTAGACAATCTTTAATTATTATCTCCTAAAGATTATCAATATATATATATATAATTAGGGTCAGTTAGCACCGGCCAAATTAGCTGCAAAAATCTATACAATTACATATGAAAGTAACATATAGATTCTTTCACGGCAAAATCAGGATTTGAAGACGATTTAACTAAAATTTATTTGCAAGTGTGTAATTATTGATATATATTTAAATTTATCACAACAATCAAAATTTGATTAATCATATTTATCAAACAATTAAAATTTGATTAATCATTAATATTTACAAATCAAAAAATTATCTTTAAGCTCTGAAAGAAGATTTTACCAGGGCGGCTATTTCAAAATTCACCAATGATCATTGTCACTGCTGCAAAATCAATCAATCAACAATCGATTAATTAATTAAATGCTGCGGTAGCTGCAATTATAATGGTGAACTTTGGGTTGCAGAATAGCACTAATTATGTATAGATAGTATATTAAGATCATAGATATGTCTTAAGAGTAATATATATTTATTTGTATTCTTATATAATAACCTCTATTTTTTCTAATTTTTTTTAATTTTTTTTACTTCACAAAAATGCTACCAAGACGACCGCACAAAAGCAATCCCAGAAATTCTTATATTTTAAAAATTCAAAATAGAGAAAGTAAAGAACTTCTCGAATTAACTAAGGAATATCGAAGGCAATCAACACACAAGCTTGGGAATCTGAATTGGAAAAATTTGAATCAAATAATGTCAAATTAGAAAATAGTGATAATGTCAAAATAGAAAAGAAAGAAACATCCGAGTTGGGTTAATGGTAAGTAAAATCT